CCCCAAAACCCCAAAACCCCAAAACCCCAAAACCCCAAAACCCCAAAACCCCATTGAACTAAATTTATAAGCTTTAAGAAAGCAAGTAAAAAAATAAACATTAACTTTCTTAAGCATTTATTAAATATATTGCGTTTGGCTGTTTGGTGATCAATTTTTTCACTTATATATTTATTCATCTTCTTCTGGCAAGACTGCGAGGACTTTTGCTTATTTTAGCAAAAGCTTCTTCGTATTTGGCATACGAGCCGACTCCTGGGCTGTGCATGTGATCTTTCTTATACTTATCGATGAAACTGATGTTCTTCGATTTATCAACTGATGGCTTAGTAATGCACCATTAGGTCTTCATGATGGCATCCTCTATTTTGTAAGATCCAGGGGCAGGTCCATCCTGCTTCTCAATCTTCTCAAATCTGGGCTTTTTAGCTCCAATGATCTTGGTTACTCTCGTTCTATCTTTGTAGTTGTCCTAAAATATAGATTTAAAGTTTAGATGTTGTAATTACGAATTTGACTTGCTCATAATTTGCACTTGGGGATTGCATGCCGTGGTAAGTAGCTACTTCGATAAATGTTTGCTACTTATCATCCTTCAATGTGTAATTTCCTCTAATTTTGTCGTTGATTTTCTTCCAAGGTTAAGACTCATATTGACCAGGACTAGGTGTAGTCTTGTCTTTATTCTTTAGAATCTCTCCAGCGACTGTAATTCTCTATGACTTATAAAACTTTCCAGTTTGATTGGGCAATGATTTAGTCCAATCCTAAGTAGTGTTGTATTGAGGACCTGGAATAAATGCCTTATTTTTAGCCTCAAGATCTGCGAAGTTGTGAATCTTCTGTTTGTCTATTTTTCCATTATGAGGCTTTAGAAGATAAGCTCTTTCCATCTTTGGAGGATTATAATACTCAACTCCGAATGGTTGATGCCTGAGGTTAGACTTTACGATGTCATTAACTGAAACAGTATATTGCATGCCTGATTTGGGAGATTTTTCTTGGAATCCGAAATTTGGACCATGAGTTTAAGAGAGTTGATCATTTTTCCTTTCATTATAGAATGAGCCCTAGAGAGATGCATTCATCGAGTTGTTTTTCCCTCTATTGAAACCGTTTTACATTTTATTTCCTGAGTTTGATACTCTTTAGTCATTCATTTGACTTTGAGCTAGTAATTTTTGAGGAGATCCAATCATTGCTGAATTGTTTAGTATATTATTTGCTCCCTACTTCAAAGGTCTGTGCTATGATGCTGAATCGTGCGACTATTTCATATTTCTAGTTCTGTCGAGAGAGGTATTGTGATCTCTCGCTTGGGATTAGGGATCCATAAATATATTTTAACAATTAATAATTTATTTTTACTCTTTCAATTTCAACCTAACTTTCGAAATTCTACATTCAGGGGTTTTGGGGTTTTGGGGTTTTGGGG